ACGCGAGACACAGAGAGAGAGGGAGAGGGAGACACACACACACACATACACACACACACACACACACACACACACACACACACACACACACAGAGTGAGATGGTGGTCGTACAGGCGTCTCAAACAGCTAAGGAGCATTTCAGAAAGATCAAGTACGTTGGAAGGGGTATACCAAAAATGTATTGGGCCCTTGGTGGGTACCGGGGTATTTTGAAAAGTTGGCCCAGTACCTGGTAGGGGTATATTGCAAAGATGACCAGTCCAATGGACTGGAAGGGTATTTGCAAAGTTTTTTTACCATCATATGGGCATCTGCTCCACCATGATCTTTCTAGAAGTATTTTGGCATATATCTCATCTTTGGGATGTCTATTGCAAATTGGACCTACGATTACTTTATTCTGTGTCTTAAAACTCAGATATAACACCGGATAGCTCCACACGTTGCAATCCGAAAGTACAAGAAACAAGAGAGAGAGAGAGAGAGGAAGAGAGGGAGGGGTGGATGGGAAGAGAGAGAAAGGGAAGGAAGGAGAGAGAGCAAGCAAGAGAGGGAGGGAGGGAGTCAGGGAGTGAAAGTGAGAGAGACCAGGTACTTTGAAAGAGAGAGAGGGAGGGAGGGAGGGAGGGAGGGAAGGAGCGAAGGAGGGAGGGAGGGAGGAAGGGAGGGAGGGAGGGAAAGAGGGAGAGAGGGAGGGAAGAAGGCAGGGAGCGACATGTGGAAAGCCACAGCAACTCCAAACACTTACCAGACCAGGCATTAGGAACATGGGACCTCCATAATCACCACCCCAGTGTCCATCCTCTTCTTGCATAGTGCTGTAGAAACGGATCGCGCGCCGCAAGGTGACATCCACATCCTCTGCAGAAGCAGACCGACCCTCTGCCACAGAGACTTTGGCTGGCATTGGCGGCAAAGGATTTATGCACGACAGCTGGTTAAAAAAAAAAAAAAAGGGGGAAGAAGAAGAAGAACCACATCAAACACAAAATAAATCCAAAAGTCCAAAAAAAAATCGTTAGAGTCAGACAAATATGCGCTGACCCGAATCAGTCAATGGATCAGGCTTCAGCAAAAGAACAGCACAACAGCCGGCTCAAAATTTCCTTCAAGAAATTCAGAACCCCATAAAAAGTTCTCTTCAGGAAAAAGTTTCCGGAAAACTGTCTTTTTTTGTTTTGGGGTCTCTTAAACTCTTTTTTTAAGGCTCAAAAAAGGCACTAAGAACTGGTTTATTATGTTTTCACTTCCAAGGGACATAAGAAGCTATGCAAAAATACAGACTGAGAACACTGATTACTGAGTTTTGCCGCTGGAATGTGTGCTGTGCTGAGATTCCCCTGTTGTGCTGAGATTTCTAAGTCTGTGTGTGCATCCTTGCCGGCTTCCGTGTGCCTGTCGCAGTGCATGTCTGCCTGAGTGTGTATCTGACTCCCCAGGGTACTTGTTTGCTTGGGAGGCCCTCAGGACCGGCACCTACCTGTGGCCGTGACTTTGAGGGTTGCAGCGGGGAACACTCAAATAGGGTAGGCTAACACTCAAGTAGTGGTTGTGTAGGCCAATGTAGTTTATAGGGTGGTACGCGAGTAGCGGTAGGCCTAGCTGAAGAAGACAAAAAGTTGGTGCATTTGGAGGCCGGGTGAATTTTAGAGAGTCCGGTAGGCCCAGGTCTAGGTACCAGCCCTGAAGTCTGAGTCTAGGCCCTGTAGCGGATGATATCAGACCTGCAATGATGTTTCCCTCTGAAAGGGAGGAGGTGCCCGTTGCTTGGTAGGTCGAGTGGCCTGGAAGTCACTGCCGAAGAGGCTTGTTTCCCACTGCACGATTCTCAGGCCATAAACACGCTATCCGGAAAAGCGGCGCTCTGCAAACAACACAGGTAAGAAATCTAGGATGTCGAGCAAGCTCCGTGTTGGGTCCATGCGATGAATCCTAAGCTACATAATGTGATAATGAAAAGCAAATGTATGATATACACATCCTAATCTAGCAGGAAGAAATGAAATGTAGCATACTACAATCCTAAGGTCATGGAGGCAACTGCTTCAGGAAAGCAATATGTCACAAGATAATGTCATGCCGCTGAACCACTGGGAGTGGGATGGTCTCATAGGGGCTGAATGCATCCTAAGAACTGAAACTCCCACACAAAGGTGCGATACGTCATTACGCTCGAGGTGTGAGAGAACGAAACAAAACCAATGACCCTAACAGATAAACCATCAAGGCGGTTAATGCTCAATAGAAGGGTGACACCATCCACGGTCAACCAAGAAAGGGGAACCTGGAATAGGATGAAATGCCTACCTAGAGGCATGCAGTGGGTGAGGGGATCAAGCATACAACCAACCAACTGGGAGGAAGCCAAAACTGAAAGAAGGGAATCCCTGATAACACTACGGTCCCAATACGTATGCGATGCCAAGGGAGAGCCCAATTCAGGGAGAACTACCTGAGGGATGCAACGAGAACCATCATGCGACACACAAAAGGGAATATGCAAGGTAGGATGGTGGCTTGAAGGAGCCAAAGTAGTCGAACCTGATGAAGTAGCCAGAGTCCTCGAAGTAGTCGATGATGTCGATGAAGTAGGAGTTTATGTCGATATCAAAGCAGAGTCGCAAAACTTTCGCATCCTGAAGTAGAGTTAATGGTGGAGTACATGAAGATGTGAGTCAGTGGGAAGATAGATAGGTTATGAGAGGGTGAGTCAGCACAACGTGCAAGGCGATGGCGAGAGCATTGTGGACGCGCGGAGCCATTTGTCTGTTGCTGAAGAACAGCCTCAAAGGGGGCAGACACGTTCTCAGCAATATCCTCGATCGGGGAAAAAGGAAAGGGTCAATCGACTTAGCAGGAGCAAACATCTCAGCACGATGAGCATGATCATATGCAAATATGAAAGTCCTGGTGTGTCGTAAGTGCTCGAAGCGCTCCCAAAAAGCCTCCTCATCATGATAGCCCTTCTAATGCAAAAGGTACTCGATGCATGGAGTGATATCGTCAGTAATTCAACGAGATACGATGTCGAAAACAACGAACTCCTTGTGACCATCCACCATGATATGTAGAGGC